GTTGAGCGCCTTTATCCGAGAGCAAACGAATCAAAGTGACCGGTACGGCATGGAGATGCCTTCATCCAGCAGCGGATTGACAGCGCGCTGCAAATTGCATTCGTATCTCTCCGCGTTTTTTTTTCTAAACGCGGAGTGATGCACGGTGACTTGGATATGACGCTACACACCTGCTGTGTGATGTCACGTGTCAAGAGCGCCGTGCACGATTTCAGTCCGTGGGTGGGCACACTGGAGCAGACAGCTGTTGATCTCTTCCACTCCCATGGCAGATCCTATAAATGCAATGTAAAAACTCTCTTAAAAAAAATATCATCATAATTGCCCGCTTCCTCTTTCGTACGGCAGAGACTTGATCGACCAACTTTCTGCATTCGTGTCGAGGTTGGTGAGACGGCCTTCAGGAGTAGCCTCGTGGTGGATGTCCGTGATTGTTGCCCGTGAACGATCGAAGTGGGCAGTGGGCGTGAGTGCGTGGCCCATAGGTTTGAGATTGGCCACCGCGCTCACACTTCGAGTCCACGAGTCCAGAGCAGATGATTTCATTTGTCGCCACCACTTGAGGTGGCCGTGACTTTAGTGCTTCGAGTTCTCTTAATGTGGCCAAGAACAGTGAATTATGTGATAACCGTTTGAAATTAGCGAGTTATCAAATAATTCACAAATGCTGTTTGTTACTGATTGGGCTGTTTGTAATGGAAATTGCCGGAATATTTATACGGATGTTCAAAGTTAAAGCAAAGCAATATTATCTATGAATATGAATAAATTTCAGTGGGAACAAACACGTACCTTGCTGCTTTGTGTGTGTGTGTGTGTTCACACGCACAGAGAGCAGTTGTTCTTTGTGTTATCACTGATGCCACTTTCTCTTTAACAGTGTGCGTTTTTACTGTTACACTCTATTTCACTTATCTTGCCATCAACTAAAAGCGACTTTTGAAAAACTTGCAGCGTTTTGACATGACATTAACATTTTGTTTTTATATTCTCGCAAAATCTGCCCGGTTACACATAATCCTTTAAACTGCAATTGGGCAAAAAAAAAATAGGCTTCTGTAAATTACAGTTGCTTAATGTTTTGCCGCGTTTAGACTCTTGCAGAATTAAAATAAATAACTGGTATCATCCCACTGTGAATTAATGCCCGATGTGTTGGTGTTGACAGAGTTGGCTTTAATGGAGAAGGGGATAAAAAGGATTGTGGTAAGAGCCGTGATTGAAAAGCCACAGGGAAAGCGGGACATTGTCTCCTGGAAGGAGATGTTTGAACAGTGTTTACCATTCTGCACCGAGTGATTTGTAATTCCCACACCTTATAAAGATGCCCCACTATTTCAGTTGTGCATATGTGACATCATGGATAATAAGACAATTCATGGGGAACTTTCACTTCCTTTTTCAAGCAACGTCATTTTAGAGTATTAATGATTATTTTTATAACGTGAGAGTGGTAGCACAGTAGAACACAGGAACAAGAGTTCGATTCCTGGCCACGGCTAACATCGGTTGCGAGTGATACCTGAACCGGTCTTGGCATTCACTGCACTAAGCCGCACTGAACAGCATGGCGAGAACCATGTTCACATAATCCCAACCCCAAAGGTGTGAGGAAGCCTTCATCCAGCAGTGGATTAGAGAATGGCCGAACATTACATATTTATCTTCTTGGTTCTTTCGGTAAAGTCACGTAGAAGGAAAATAATAAAAATAAAACATAATAAAATCATTCTCACGACGTTTCGGCCACAACGCAGACAGCCGTCCTTGCGTTGTGGCCGAAACGTCGTGAGAATTATTTTATTATGTTTTATTATTATTTTATTTCCCTTCTACGTGACTTTACCGAAAGAACCAAGAAGATGAATCCCTGCAGTCACGAAAGCTTTAAATCGAAATTACATATTTATTGAAACAAATATTTCTACGGTATGTTGCCAGTGGTGCACAGTAAAAAGCACAGTAAAAATAAATCAACACATTTGTATCATTGAACTTCGAAACGACGATGGCTGCCTTGTAAGCTTGGGGTTAGTTTATGTTATCCTTCGTTTAATCGTCGTAATTTAAAAACGTGTGGTCTTTTATTTGATGCTGGAATACGTTCACGGTTAAACAGGCTGATCCGGTTGACAATACGTAATCTGCTAATATCTTTGGCACTGGGCCTTCTTCGGCGTAGAGAGAAGGCAGGAGGGGTTGACCGACTTAAAGTTGTAGATTGCGCTTTGCACTGTGGGGCCCTGCAAAGTCTGGGGACGTTTAACAAGATTGACGATGAGCAGTTGTAAGCTTACAGTAACGGCTTATTTTTGGTCACGATTAGACATTGAGTATCAGATAATCCCCGGCTTTTTCGTGAAGTTTCACTGCTATCCTGTTCCCACTGGAAACAACCAATTGATGGATATTGACCTTGCGAAGCTGACTCGTGCAGTCCAGGGCTGGACGGTGTGGGCGTGAACAGGTGGATGGACACCGATATACGGAGCCCTTTGTATAACAACTTCAACAACAACAACAACGACGACGTTACAGTCTCCGTATTTGTTCCGTGGGTGGAGCAGTAGTGCCCATTTTTTGCTGTCCCGTTTGTATTGTTTCTCCTTTTCTCTGCCTCGTTTTCACAGTTTTGTTCGCTGCATTAGCCGAAATATAACATGAGCATATCGCTTGCATATCAAAATAGTATTTTTTTTTTTACATGCAATTCTACGCTTCCATCGTGAGCAGTAAGAATCAATGTAAATAGGATGATTTCTAGATTTTAAGCTTTCGTGACTGCAAGGATTCATACTCTTAGTTCTTTCGGTAAAGTAACGTAGGTAAAAAATGAAATTAAAATTAATACAAAATAAAATAATAAAAATCACGACGTTTCGGAGGCAACACAAGTCTCCGTCATCAGGTGGGACCGTCACAGCCAGATTTACCTACGTGACTTTACCTAAAGAACTAACAGTATAAATAGGATGACTTGTACGTATGTACGTTGAACTTCTTTCGCAGCATAGGTAGCTAACCGTGCTAATCGAAGGTGCGTTCTTGCACCCTTTCATGCTCATAGCGTACGCACAGTCATCATCGTCAACCTTGATTAATACACCGCTGATTGTACGCCTCCCCAAGCCATCTGCATCTCTTAACAATCCACCTAGCGCCTACATACGAGCTGATTTTATCGCGCACAGCTCATATATATCGTAAGCCGTGCATGTATTGCATGGCAGCCGTATCTAGGTCAGTGTAGATTGCACCCAAGGATACGTTCTACCAGATCTGTCGTACGGTCACGACAATGATGTACTTCCACAAACGGGGAGCAATGGAAGGTAACGCCGCCGCTGCCTGTTCACTTTGACCGCTCAGTCGATTTGTGCGCGCGCTGCTTTCGCAAAAGTCACTTCCGTCTTTAGGGCAACTGAACTCACACCGCTGATGACTGCTGCTGCGGGTTGTGCGTATGTGTGTGTGTCTCTCTGTTGAACTTCTTTCGCACCGTACGTAGCCAGCCGGGCTAATCTGAGCTGCCCGTAGTTTACTGCCACCCCCTCTGGTCCATTTGTGAGTTTTAGTTTTACATAGTAGGTTTTTGTATTTAGTGTGTGCGCAACCATCGGTTAAATAACAGACCTACACGCAGCGGTGCAATTTCATCACGTGTTCGCCTATAATTGTTTGTGTGTGTGTGTATATAAATATTTAAATGGGAAGAAAAAATTCATTGTCACAAAAAAAGAACATGATGATTAGATGTGTTTAAATATCTTCGCGCAGTAACTTGTGGTTTTATTTATTTGTTTAACATTCATTTAAATTTCTCGCATCTATTAACAGTTTGCATTTTTTTGATAGCTATAAAATCAAATCAACCCTGGCACATTGATTCAGATTAATGGGTAGTGTCCGTGTGATTGTTCCAGTGTCTGCAATTGTTCCTAAACTTAACTTAATTTAAAGGCCATTACTGGTGCCCTGTAAAACTGCCAATCAGGAGAGTGCTGACAACGGATTAACTATTTTCCATTCTTTAATTTCGTGATTTCATTATGCACGCTTTTAGTTTGTGCTCATGAGAAATTAATGCAAGTCGCATTTGTATTATTTATACAAGGCTTAATATTTAAAGCTGCTGTTATTGTTTAGCGTTACAGTAAGATAAACGCGCTTAATCTTTTTTGAAAAATGCATTTACCCTTTCGTTCCAGAAAACGACTCGACACGTTTGTTCATAACACTGTGGCTTAAAATTAAATAAAAATACACAATAGGTGATGTTTTGGGCTATGGGCTCTTATTCATAGCACATGAACAGAGAGGCCAGGGAGATGAAGTAGATAATAAGGGTTGGAGACTGCACTTGCTTACATAATCGGTCCTGATGAGAGTGACATTTAAAAAGAAAATTGTGATAAGTTTTTTTTATTGACATGAATAATTACTTACATACTGAGATCACTTTGGTGCAATGGAGAGAGAATGTTTCTTTGGAAAACACGTCAGTTTTATTATATACAGTAACATGAGGGCAACATATGGTGGTTAAAAAAATTCATTCGGGTATTACTTTAGTTAAATGCATTGACATTATCACATGGTAAAAATATGATCGCTTTAAAATACGGTTGTCTGAATGTCACGTATACTCGTATAGGCATGTGTATGCTAGCATGGATATGACCACAACACCACGAAAGCTTTCATTGGAGACTGCCTACCTATCCTTGGGGTTGAGGGGTAGCCAGGAGATGGAAGCACAATGGAATTCTTGAAGCCAACTGTGTACAGCTTTGAATTTGACCTCATCATCGCATTAGCGGACGCTCGCCAGGCCACTCTGATTTTGTCCCACGTGAAGCCAAAACTCTAGTTCATGGAATTGACCAAACATCCCGGTGCAGACCCACCCGGTGAGGCTCTCGCTTGGATGTACAACGGGCATCATCGTTATTTTACAGAACTCTTGTGCATTCTTTACGTTTGTCTCTTCTTCATTCCAGCCACCCAATGCTGGTGAAACAGGAGCCTCTGGACACGGAGATGGGAGCCCAGAACCAAGAAATTGAGGAGGAGCTGGAGGAAGACCTGGAAGGATCCTTCCAGTCGACCAATCACGAGCAGGGCCTGGAGGAAGAGTCCGGTCCCCTGATGTCATCGGCCTATCAGGGCTTGGAGGAGGGCCCATTCCACCGCTCCACCAGCCACAGCTCTGACACCGACGAGGAGCGAGGAGGCTTTGAGCGCGACGATGCCGACGAAATGGAGGGATAAACGTTTTCCGCGACCCTCTGTAAAACAAACAAAAAACATGACAAAAAATTACAATGGATGTTATAATGAAACTTTGGTAGCTGGAGAAGACTGTTTTTACATTTGTCTTTTGAAACAAAGAACATTTAAATGTAGAAGCTTCCCAGTTTCACAATGTGTCACGTAAATGTTGATTTTCGGGATGGGAGGGGGAAGAAAATAATAATTGCTGTCGCGTCTGGGAAATTTAAACTGGAGACCAAAACGATTCCTCTACAAGGGAACCTAAAAAATAACGTGGGTTTAAACCCTAAATCGGTATTTCGGCATTATCGCAGCGCGTACATGGGGCAGTAGATGGGTAGAAAAGCGTCGGAGCGGGATTTTCTTGGGCGACGCAATAACCTCCACGCACGACGCGTCTCGAGAAAAAAAAAATAAACGACCATTGTGAGAAGAATTGCTGCACATCACCTCCCCGAAAAGCTAAGCCGGGCAAGCGACTGCAACGCCACAAGCTACGCTTCGGGCCTGCCCGTTATCAAATGCTTAGCAATTTTTTTTTTTAAATACTCCCGTTACAAAACACTCACGAGAAATAAAGGAGAGGTGCCAACTGCACACACAACACACAGTTTACCAAAAAAAAAACTAACAAAAAAAACTGACGCCCTCGACCTCGACCTCGTTAACTATGAAAGCTTAAAACGTCGGCTGCATCGTGCAACGTGTATCCCTCTTGAGAAATTACAATGTGTTTTCCATGTGTGTAAGGAGTTAGTCACTTGAGAAATTGTGCTTTCATGGCTGTGTAGTTTTGTTTCTGTCAGCAAACACACACACACACACTTGTTGTTGTTGATCAATGTCCTACTTTGTTGGCTTTATTATTTGTACCTTCCTTTCGAAATGGTAACTTCTCAAAATGTCCTTGCCTGGGAGAATGCAACATTGTCTACAGAGACGTTTGCCAATTGAAACTTCATGAAGAACATAATACATTACATTTCATTACCAGTTATTTGATGACAGCCTACACTTGATATAACTCAGTACCTAACGTTTTAACAAGAGGCAAATGATTGCCACCTAGTTTTAATTAGGAAAGAAAAAAAATCGGTTTTTACTTTATCATAAAATCCTCATTTCGAGCTACGATTATTTGTGATTTACCAAAGATTATTTCTAGGGATGGTTTTTAGTGGCTGAGTGATCGTGATGATCTCGATTTCCCTTCCGAAACCAAATATCCTAACTGTCGCTGCTGAAGCTACCAAATTAAAGCTTCTAGAGATCCCAAACAGACGGCATAACCTCAGCGGACCTGCACACGTGACATCAACGTTACCTTCCCGATCTTTGCGCGAGGCAAAGTTTCGAACCTGCGTGAATAGATTCGTCGCATATTTTTACCACGAGAATAAGGATACAGCATTGATGCTTGTAGCCCCAAATTTACAAAAAAATACATTTCCGATAACATTTTTTTTATTATAAATTACACTTGTATTGGCATCTCTGTACCGGTACGTAAAGTGTCAGATTATTCCCACAAATTACGAACGAAAATCAGTTGACGTTATTCTTGTAGTTAAAAGCTGTATTAAAAAAAGGATTTAATTGGGAAAACACTGGCAGGAACACACGTGTATGTCTTCAACGTTACATGATGTGTGCATCGTATATACTGTAAGCGGATAACGCAGGTGTGTGCACTGGTTCTGTGCATCGACTGTGCACTGATGTCATAGGTCTGTGGGTCCGCTTGCAAATCTGAACCAAAGGTCTCCCTTGGAACCATTTAACTACCTGAAAATAGCTCACAGTTGTTAACCAAACAGCATTAACACAGTTCACAATCAGCAAAAATGTATTTCACTGATATTTAAAAAAAAAATGGCCGCGCCATCACTACAAGCAGAAGGATGGAGGTGAGATTCTGGGGCAGGTCTCGTTATCGCCTCTTGAGTTTAGAGCGCACCTGCGAAGTAAAGAAAAAAAAACCTACTAGACAAAGGGGAAGCGGTCGGAGCGTTTCATAACGATCGCCACGCCTGAAAACAAGCGGTGGGCGGTGGTGGCGGTGGTGTTGGTGGTGAGTGTGCCACCGTTCGAAGCGCACATCTGTACCTCTGGCCAAAGGGGGTGTGGGAGGGGGGCTCCTAGCATTGAAAAGTCCCCCCCCCCCCCCCCCCGCTTTGCTGCGTTGGCCGCCTTGTTCACTGGATTGTCAAGCCTCACGCCTGCCCCACGAGAGACCTTGTGTCTCCCGCCACCCCTTGGATGCAACAGTGGGGTTTTTGTTGTTGTTGATGATGATGATGTTGTAAAACATGCGCCGGAAAGACAGGCCATAATCTGTCTGATGGCACACAAAGACAAAGACCCCACCTCCACCCCGTGCAGCCTTAACACACTGTTGGGGCAAGTGCTGTTAGCGAGTAGCACCTATGAAGGCCGGCACGGCACACGTGGGGGTCGGGTGGGTAGCAACCACGCCTGGCCGCCTTTGTCTCCCCACAGTGGCGATTTTTACACATCGCACCGGGTACTCATTTGAGGCTGAGTCGACCTTGGGGAGGCCCAGGACCAGTTCAGATACTCTACATTTGTGTGGGCGCATGTCAGCAGACGCGCACACACACAAAAACAAACGCGCGCTGCTGTGTTAGAGTACTCCGCCCCAATGCTGTCATACTATCGGTGCTAAATTAGGCCCAGTCTAATTTGGACACTGGCTACGATTAGAAACATGTGGGGATTTTTTTCATTTTTAAGCAACGTAGTGACGATAACTATGCGAAACTTTGGCTCAGTATTAGGGGAGTAAAGTCCACCATCGCACGGTCACATGAGATGGAGCTCCCTAGCCGTGCTGGGGAATTCGTGGCGACGCAAGACGTGCCTCCGAATAGCACGAAGTGGCTACGTACGGTGCGAAAGAAGTTTCAAGTTTTCCATTTCGCAAAGGGGGGGTGGGGGGGGGTACAGCTAATGGTTTCTTAAGTTATATATTTTTTTTCAGTCGAAAATAAACCACTAAAGGTTGCTTGGAGATGTTTTTATTCGTCGAAACTTGAGGATTTCCCCGCAAAGCGGTTGCGACAGATGTATTAATTCAGCGATTCTCGCCACACCGCGTAGCTCTCTGTGATCATTGGAACAGGGCACGCACCTTCATTTCCCACATTCACGTGGCTCTGTGAAACTGTTGCATAGCGCTTGTTTTGGTGAGCGCATTACAGCAGCAAAGCCGTCTCGTCCTCGCGGTCATTCACAACCCATTGAATCTTGCTGCCACTGGCACAGATGTTGCTCTTGACTTTACAGCACCATACTTGCAGGTTGCAAGGTACTCTTCGGACCTCAGAATTAAACAAGATCCAGTGCTGGTGATGAGCGCGCCTGCGAAGTTAAACCGGGCTTGTTTCTGGCCACAAACAATTAACAAAAAATGGGAGGCACAGACGGTCGGCCCCAATTGCCCTCCCTTTTCACCTGTTGGTGGCGTAAACGTTCTCTTTGTATAGTTGTTATCGGTGTTTGTTGGGATGCAGGACATAGAGATGTGTACATAAAAACCACGTACGAAAAAAGCCACAGGCCTGCCCCAAGATCAAAAAAACTAATTATAATCCAGTCAGTATGATATGAAGTTTTTGTGCTGGGTAGCAGATAATATAAGATGTTGCAGTTGTACATATATACATATATAAATATCTATAAATAACAACAAATTACAATCTTTAAAAAAAGAAACCTCAAAATGAAACCAGACCTGTGTTTAGGATAACATTTAGGTCCGTTGATGGTTAATCTGAAGAACATATCTCTGCGTGTTTTTTTTTTGTACTTTAATGTGCTTTTGCCGTTCGCATCTCTTGCTGTAAAGTTATTCGCTTGCTTCCCGAGCATTTACGCTAGAATCGCCGCTTTGGACCGGGAGGTCTTCGCTGTGAACGTACCGTGTGCATGTCTGTTGTTTGCGCACGCATTTAAGTGGACTGTGTGTAAGCAGTTGTTGTTCTTGCTGCGATGGTTGAAGCATTTAGACGTGAAATCGCCGAGGGCCCTCGTTTTTAAGAAATGATGACGAAATCGAATAAATTACTAGCTTTAGTATTATACAAGATCATCAGGTCATTGTTAAAAAAAAACACAAAATGTAAAAAAAAAAATCACACCGCGATCTCTTCCTCTTTGTACATTTTAGCTCCGAAATGGGGGGCGGGGTTGAGTTCGGGGGGGGGTGGTTTTGATATCTTTGTAACGGCGTTTGGCACGTTGATAAAATATTACACGTTTTGAATTGGCTCACCGCAGTTCAGATTCAATTTCTCACTTTGCCCTCGAGACTTCGCGAGCGCTGTTTAGACGAGCCGGTGTGTTTTCATTGTTTTTATTTCATTATTTTGTTTTTATTTCATCAGTACATGAAAACTAATAGGACCAAACTGCAACTTGTACGAACAACTTGCGGCCCGTGATTTTAAGACGTGGCCCACTCTGTGGCCCTCTGAACCGCAGGGCTGGCTGCCACCAATGCGCAACGATGGCTCGGTAGCACTAAGCTCTGCGTGACTCATTCACACTGTCATGTGTCCCCCCCCTCCACCCCCAAAGAGCAATTGGAAGGTTAGCAGATGCTTTTAACCTCTGGATTATGATTGCAAAAGACACCAGTGTTCAAGAAACGGAGGGTGTTTTTTTGTTCGTTCGTGACACAAATTGCTGTAAACTCTAAAAAGATAATAATATTAAAATGATTTAGGATTTTCTTTTTTGCTCTTAGCTATGTCAATGCTGTGCATACGTAGAGGGGACACATATTGCTTGATTTGTTCTACTTTGTAATATAAATTTTATGGAAAGCAAGGCTCTTTCAGGCTGTGTTTGGCTTTCTATTGTCACTGTTTACAAACCATGTGGCTTCCATATTGATTTTAAGAAAGGCAAAACTGTAATGTAAATATTAATATCGTCAGTCAAATAGAAACAATATGCCTCTGGACATAGCTAAGAAAACTATAAACGGCCAATTAATTTGTTTTCTGTATTAATCCAGAAAAATTCAAAGTACTTGTCAAAAGATGTATTGAATTTACCTCTGATCAAAATGTAGCATTATAAAACAAAACGAACATTAAAAAAGATATCTTTACCAGATTAACATGAGGACATTTCAGTTCGTGTCATGTGGATTATCCCATTGCAATGAGGACATCGCACGCCGCGGTTGGTGCGAGTTGGACGTGCAAAGCTCGGCTATACATTATGTCGCACGAGTGCGTATTTCTTCAAATTGCGCATCTTAAAAAATAAACTAATGTATAAGGGTGCATCCCTCACTGCCACCAACACGGACATTTTTGTGTAAATAGAGAAGTGAAGGCCAGCGTAGCCTGTGCCAGCTATATCGGGTCCACACGCGCGCGCTAAAACAGACCAATTCTGTAGTTGACCAATTGTAGCTGTGTGTAATCTCAGTACTAATTACTGACAATGCTGTAATGAATGCAATAATAAAAGGAGGTTTATAAATCCCGCGCGTGTTTTCCCACTATGTCCGTTCAATTCAAACGGAATTAGTTGCAACGTGTCCTCAAGTGTGCTTTGTTGTGTTGTACTCCTGTGATACCCAATTGAGTCCAGCATTCCCAGTCATATTCTTAGGTTTTTTTCGGTAAAGTCACGTAGGTTAAACATTAAAAAAGTAAAATAAAATAAAAATCACGACGTTTCGGAGGCAACACAAGCTTCCGTCCTCAGGTGGCACCGTCACAGCCACGACCGCTGTCGTGGCTGTGACGGAAGCTTGTGTTGCCTCCGAAACGTCGTGATTTTTATTTTACTTTACTTTTTAAATGTTTTACCTACGTGACTTTACCGAAAAAAACTAAGAATATGAATCCTTGCAGTCACGAAAGCTTCAAATCTAGAATTCATTCCCAGTCACCCAAGGTTGTGTTGACTCGATTGAGGTTATCAGAGCGAGTCGTGAATATTGTTCCGTAAGAAGAGTGATTAATAATGTGCCCTTTCCTGTATGTTTCCCCAATGTTATCCTGATTGTGCTATCGGAGCCATGGCATGATGCGAAGAATCTATGCCATCCCTCGAAGAGCAACTCTCCCATGATAGAGAATGGCCCGTGGAAGTAGACACGACAGAATTACTTCTGGGGTACCCTTCAAGCGACCTTTGATCCTCATAGTGTAGGGCAGCAATTTCCCACCCACCCTGCTACGGAGAGGCGTTGCTGTCACCACGGCAGTCAAAAGCGATATGTTTAATTCTAAAAGCTGAAATTTTGCCAAATTAAGTGCAGAACCAAATTTAATGAGATGCATTTTGATTTAAAGCTTTCGTGACTGCAGGGATTCATATTCTTGGTTATTTCGGTAAAGTCACGTAGAAGGGAAATAATAAAATAATATATATTTTATAATAAAATAATATTTGTATTATTTTATTATTTCCCTTCTACGTGACTTTACCGAAAGAAACAATAATTAATGAGATGAGTTTATTTTTTTAAAATCCTTTATATTAAGTTCACTTGCTTGTGCGCTTACGACCGTGCAAATCTTTCGGTCGTTTTTTAACCCACTTCCCGTGATCCAATCGAGCTGACATTTTGCACACAGACTCGTTGTGCGTGACAATTAATTTTCGTGAAAATCTTTTTCCAAATTTTTACACTTTTTAGGAAATAAAAATTATATTTAATTACCAATTGCTTAATGGTGGCAGGCAATCATCTGACCCATAGGTGGCAGCCATCTCAAGCCAGAGGACGAGAGGACTCTAGCCGCCACGCATATATAGGATTTATAGTGAAAAACTTAGTTTTTACGGGTTATTTTTTTCTCTCTGAGGTCATTGGCGACTGGGCGGTGATCATCAACTCGCTGCACTTGAGAGCCCGGTCTAATCACAGGCGACTGAAATCTGGATTAAAACCCGGGATCTCAGCACTGCCAGCTCAGCGCTTTCCGAGCCATCCAAACACCTAATGGGCACTTTAATTATATATATTTATATATTTTACAAACATTATTCACCCAAAATTGCATGGAACAAAAAAATTGTGAGATTCTGTGCCACGGCCATTTTTTGGTTGTAATATAAATTTATTTTTATGGCTCTGTATGAATAGTGGATAATGTGTATTTCTATTTATGCTAATTTTTCTGGCAATGGGGCTTCGTCTCTTTATTAATGATTTTGGCAGGAAAAATATACATTGAGTTGTGCTCTTCTATTGAATGCTGCCCTCTGTAGGCTGCTGCTCTCCGAGCGTGCTAAGTTTAATTTCGAAACAATCCATATAAAACGTCACATCTTTATAGTTTTAATAATTGTTTCATAAGTATGACATGCTTCATGCATAACATTTAGATGCCATCGCATCTCTTCAATTGCTGCAGTATGCATCGGCAGTATATACATAGCCAGTTTATACATAGACAGTTTATACATGAAACGCGAGAGCGCAAAGGAAAGCTACATTGTCGTTGCAATAACAATAAGGTTGGGAAAAAAATAAGTAGCTTTCTGCTGATATTTAGACAAATGCCGAGGATTAATTTCCTTGTACCTCAATACCCTGAGCTGTTGTGTGACTTGAAATTAATCAGACGGCTCTTTTTCGTTATTACAGTTAATTACCGCGACGTAATTTAAAGCAGAAGTGAGTGTACTCCTCCCAAGAGCGATTCGAATGCTAATAATGCCCGATTTATTAAAGCATTCCTTTCGAAAAATTGCACCAAAGTGAAATACATAATTCTCGGCCTAATAGCATAGGATGCAGTGCTGTGGTGCTCTGCTGGTGTGTTTTTATTATGTTTAAAATTGTCCTCTGAAATAATAAACATGCCACGAGCTTTTATTTAACACACCCCCCCCCCCCCCAGGTGATTCCACTTGCTTGTGATGATGCAAGGAATTTGCACGACTTATCGTTGTACTTTATTAAACAATGACCCTCGCAACATTAACACTTATTAGCACTGTTGTAGAACATAAACAAATAGAGACAAATGTAAATCCGGGAACTGTTTTGGGCAATACCCCTTCTTCGGAGCAGAGACAGACACGCGCTTTAGACTGTGCAGCCCTGAGAAAATATTTGACAATAGTGAACAGCTATGATTTGTTTACCACAAGTAGAAAAAAAATGAGTATCAACCGAATGCTGTGTTGCTATATCACAATAAACTGTATAAATTCATCAATAACACTGTGGCCCAAAAAGCATTTTTTTTACAACAGGCAACGTTCCGGGCAATAGCCCCTTTGCAGAACACAGATGAATGGCCCTTTTTTATTAGACATGTTGCATGTACGTATCATCATCATTATTATTAATTTTTAAATCACAGTTGCTGAACACAGATCCAGAGGCTAAACGTGCCAAATAACCGGGAACAAACAGCACGATTGAAGATAAAAAATATTACATCTTTCTTGGAATTGAACAAGGTTTTACGAACTTAGGGAATATATTGTTTAACACGTAGGCTTTCGCAAACAATATTATTCGTAACGGATTTTGGGTAAGATCGCGTAAGTATGAATATTGTGTCGTAACCCTCCACCACCCGACACAGCCAGTAAGGTTTGTCACGTAAAAAAAACCGTGCCAATTAGTTTACTACTTCAGCCCATCGGTGTGTTGGAGAGTAAATCCACAACATTTATCATTTGAGCACGGCGTTTCGCTGGTAATTACATCCAGCATCATCGGGCATTTTTTGCCAGAATACTGATGGGCATATGATGGACAGCCATTCCACAGATTGCTCGTGGTGCACAAGGCCACTCTCACAAACATGCACTGGCAATTTTAAAACGTGCGTTGGTGACACTGGCGTTCGGTCGACTTGTGAGCGTTGTCAATATTTTTGATAATTACAAGCAAACACTTTGTTTGATCTGGGCTTTGTACCTGCCTTCTTCTTTTATGGCTCTACACCAGCGGTTCTTCACACGACAATACCAGCTGCCAATTTTTTTCCTCCAACCTTCACGTGTGCGTGTAAATGTGTACCAACTCAATTTGCATATGAATGAACAAGGCTGGTAAAATGGAAATCTGAGCTGTGATGGCTCGTGATGATCGGGAGTTTTAAAAGTGCTGTTCTGTCCCTTCAAAGTATAAAAAGGGCAACTGCTTGCGATCTTTTAAAAAGACATTTCTTTTTTTTGTTTGTGTTTCATTACAAAATCTCTCCACCTACAATTAATGTCAGAAACCATTCGTGAATGCAGTCCGTTTAGGGTCAACTTTAAGGTCATGGGGTCAAAGATCCTGGTCAGAGGGCTCTCAAAAAACACAATAGTCCTATATGTCTGCTTCTCCCAGCACATTTAAAGAAAAAATTCCTGACAAATCCTTGCAAATTTTTGGAATTTTCATCTGAGAGTGCCATGTCTTGTACAATACTGTATGGTTTTCAGGCTGAAAGATCAAATCTCAAGATCAGTTGCAAGGTCAAATGTTAAGAACAACCATGATTTTAAAATAAATTAACATTTGGGAACAACATTCCACCAATTTGCCCTCCAGTTACAATAAAAAAAATACCCTGTATAGTGGTCACATTGAAAGGGCTGCTCAGAAAACTGCACATTATAATAGTCTAATAATTTATACAAAGTTCTACATCTTGGAATCATCGGGGAATTATTGCATTTCTCACGTGATGTGTGCAGCGTTTACATTGCGGAACGCGTAGCGAAAGCAAAGCTAATTTTGAGCAATTGTTCTTGGCAAAATTAAATATAGCTTTGTGCATGTGTGTGTGGGGGGGGGGGAGTGTATTGACAAAACGAGCGTAATTAAGGACTCCCCCCAGTGATCTCATTTACACCAGCTCTAATTAAGCCCCGCCGTTAATTGGGCATCAACTAATTAGCAGCCAACCTTTCGCAGACCTCACTGTAATTAAGTAATGACTTGTTTATCTCCTCTTATTGAATATGTTCTCTAATTTGCCATTTCAGTAATTGTCAGGTTATAAAACGGAAACGGTGAGTGAAAGCAACAAAGAAAAAAAAAACACAATTTAACGTGTGAACACGCTCTTAAAAAACATTTGTTGTTATTTTCTCTGAGAGAGAAAAATAACTTGATTACTGCCTTCGGCTAATGTGTGTAAGAAGGAGCCGGTACAGCAGAACACCCGTTAGATCTGGTGTAATGCTGCCTAATTGGCTGTTAATATGATGACTCTGGATATTCGGTTGTTCGTTGTGAGCAGTTCTCTAAATCCTAGACATTTATGTTTGTGCAGTGTGTGTGGAAACATCCTTTATTGAATTTCGCAGGATATGCAAAGTCAACATTACTTAAATGGTTTAGGTGCTCAAGAGCTGGGCTTTTCATTATTTTACGTGCACCGAACTGGGTGCATAGTTAATGATATGACATCGCATTGATTAGGTGGTTATATATAAATAATAAACCATTGCCGTGCCTACAGACTCAAAACTAAACTTTAAAATTACACGCCTGTTTTTGTAGCCTTTGGCAAC